TTTAAAATTTTATTAGAAAAATTTAAAATTTAAAAAAGTTTGCAGGCAAATTTGGCTACAAAACAATTTAAGGGATAAATATAAGTTCTTCTTCTAATAATGTTGTTTTCATGATAAACATGATCTTTTACTATATTAAATCCTTTTTTTCTACTCTAATCAACAATAAATAAGTTACATATTGCCCAGTTTGCTAGTACTTTGCTAGTAAATAGCATTGACATTTCATTTTCTAAATTGCTAGTAATCAATAAATCTATTTCAGAATTGGTAGTTGTATTTATCATATTATCAATGCTTTCAATATCATTTTCCTCATTGGTAAAATAATTGGCATTTGCTAAATATTCAGCATCATTTATAATATTGTGAAGCTTTACACTTTTGGTATCACTCATCTTAATAGAAACAAGGTCGATATAATTACTACAGGTATATCATTATATATTTGTTAGTTTCTATTAACAACAGTTTTTTTTTATATATTTATATAACTCAAGCCTATCTCTTGCCTTTATTATCCTATACTACACACTTGTTAAATAAAAAAAAACTATAGATACTATGATAATAAACACCTGTTGAACATCGAAACTTGTATATAGTACTGCAGGTATATATGTCTTTTGATTGTTGTCTAGGTTAATGTATATTTATTAGCTTTTACTATCAGTGTTTTTATTATATTAATGTAACTCACACTACTTTTTTTCTTTATCTTACACTTCACACTTGTTGAATAAATGAAATTGTAACAGTACAATAAATACTTGTCAAATGTCAAACAACTGGTATATGGTATTATTGCTAGCTAATGTGTCTTGACTATTGCTAAAGTTGTTATAAATGAAGCAATGATGGTATAACAAATATCGAACAATTGAAATATAGTTAAAATAAATTTTCAAGGCACACTTGTCAAGTCAAAAAAGAAGAAGGTTAATCATTTTTACAATCATCTTTTATTTATTTGTCAATTATATCATACTAAATTAATCAAAACAATTGGGTCTCTAAAGTATAATAATTAGATTTTAAACTTAAACAATTATTGTTACTATGCTAGATAGGTGCGTTTATCACATATACGATAAATTATAAAATTCTATTTTTTAATATAAATAGATATTTAATTAGTAATCCACCAGTCAACCAGAGAATGTTCATAGTAAAATGTGACTCAAATTACTTATAAAATTGGAGGTCTCCAAATGTGGCGTGCACACATCTAAAACTTTTTTTTATACTAAGTTAATCACTTTTCTAACTTAAGAGACTTT